GAACAAATGAAAGAGACGAGTAGTGAGTTGTGTGAGATGCTTTATGCAATCAAATTCATTTTTCTGAAGGATCTACTAGTTGGAAGGGGCTTTAGCGTGGCTTCTTTCTGCTTCTAGCGCCCTCACAGGAACAGACTTAAGATGGGGCATTCTGTGTAACTTTCGCTAATACTTACTATATCCCTTTATATTTTAATGTAAAAGCTGCACCAAGCTTGGATTTTGTCAAATTCATTAGCCTGCGCTCCTCAAGAAAGTTGATCCTTGTTATGTTATTTAAAATCTAGCCCCTTGATACTCTTATCGAGAGTGCATAATCTAGTCTTCATCAAGGAATGAAAAACCTCTTTGTGACGAGCTAATGATGATCTATAGGCATGCCCCAGTTGAGAGGAAGATTATAGGAAAAAGTGTCAAAAAATTCCTAAACCTTTGCATTTGTGTTAATTTAGTCATAAACTTTTTTTTTGTGCCAATTCAGTCCTAAACCTTTTGTCTTCGTGCCAATTCAGTCATTCCGGCTAATTTTGGCCGGATTTTGCTGACGTGGACGCCGGCCGGCTTACATGGCACCGCCGGAATGACGTGGACAACCTTTAATAATATTTTAATATTTTTCGAATTTTTTTTCTTTTCTTTTCTTTTTCTTTATCTTTCTTCTTCCTCCAGCCGGTCCCCGGACCTGCGACTAGCTGAAGGCCAGGGCCGGCAAGCCCCACTGGCCAATGGCGAGGCTCACCCTTGCCAGCGATGGCGAAGGCGAGCCTCACCAGCGGCTGGGCGAGGCACGACCTCGCTGCCATCACCCGACGACGGCCTCGAGCTGGGTTAGGCGAGGCTTGCCCTCACCGGATCTGGTGAGGTAGGGCCTCACCCATGGCAAGCGAGGTTCGACCTCGCTAGATCTGGCGAGGTCGTAACTCGCCCAACCGCTGGCGAGGTCAGGCCTCACCCATGGCCGACGAGGCTCGACCTTGCCAAATTCGGCGAGGTTGTGCCTCGCCTAGCCGCTAGTGAGGCTCGTCTTCGCCGTCGTTGGCGAGGGCGAGCCTCGCCATTGGCCGATAGGGCTCGCCAACCCTAGCCTCCAGCCGGTTACCGAACCGGCTAGAGGAAGAAGAAAGATAAAGAAAAAAAAAGAAAAAAATAATTCGAAAAATATTAAAATATTATTAAAAATTATCCACGTCATCCCCGGCAGTGCCACATAAGCCCGCCGGCATCCACATCATCAAAATCTGGCCAAAATTAGCCGAAAGGACTGAATTGGCACACAAACAAAAGGTTTAGGACTAAATTGGCACAAAAAAAAGGTTTAGGACTAATTGCCACAAATGCAAAAGGTTTATGACTTTTCTGACACTTTTCCCGAAGATTATAAATGCCCACAGATGATGAGTTTTTTCTATATATTTTTTTTTGCAGGATGCTGTAGACATATACTGTTGCTTCATCTGTTTTTTCTCACTATAGTGATTCCTTAATTGAAGGATACAATTACCCGCTCAGCATCATTCAGGTCAACTATCATGAATTGCCAGCGTGAAATTTCTGTCATCCAGACCTCTACGATTATCTTGTTGATTTTGTGTCCGTCTTCCTCAGGTTTATCTCATCATGAAAGAAGGGAATATTGAATGCCATTCCGCTGTTTGTTTCGAGTGACAAACTTTGAGAAAAAGGACAACTGGTAAAAACAGTGAAGAAGAAAACTGGAAACGAATTTTAAACAAGTAATAGATGAAAGAGAAACGAAATGAGTTGTTTGACATGCTTTGGCTCAATCATTCGACTATTTAAAAGGATTTTATGTATCGAATGGGATGGTGGCAAAGTGCATTCTATTTCTTGTTCTAGCCCCTTGTTTGTTCACTCTAGTCTGTATCTCACCTGGTATTGATACGTGATGGAGGATAGCTTATGGAAATGAGAAGTAACTTGTTTTTCTGTACAATTTCCTTCTACTGCACACGCTTTTTTTTTTACCTTCTTATTTACATCGGGAAAAGTTCTGGCACGCAGCCAGCACACTTAGATCTAAACATCTTTCTTAAGCAACTAAAGATTAAGATGTATTAGACTCGTGTAAATCTGGCACCATGTAATAACTTCTCATCAATCAAATTGTTTGTTCTAACTATGCTGCTCCACTGTGCTAGGAAAAAATAATGAGTTGACTGGATAGCATATCACAAAACAAGATCAGTCAACTATGGCAAAAAAAAAGCCTTTAAGGAGCCCCAAGAGTAATTGAAAGCTGGAAAGTACATGGTGCAGAAATGTTTATGCCTATTGTTCTCCAGACTTGTAAATGGTAACATTATGTTTCGATTGTAGGAATGTAGGAATGTCTAGCAGTGAATACCGAAACTGGAGCTGAGTGAGACTAAGCACACATCCAAAGGAAAGTAGGAATGTCTGGTAATAAATAAGACATCATAAAGAAACTGGACGTGAGTAAGAATATACATCGAAAGGAAATTAGGAAAGTCTAGTAATGAATATGACATGCAGGAGCTTTGTACGATGTTGCAACAGAAAATAAACTGATTTGGAGGATAGTTCTGGATTACACAATGTAGTAACTTAAGGATTTCAATAAAATTTGAATGGAACAAGGGTTAAGTAACAAATGAAAGAGACAAGTTAATGAGTTGTCTGAGATGCTTGATACAATTTATTTCATTATTATGAAGGATCAACTAGTTGGAAGGGGCTTTTTCATGGCTTCTTTCCACTTCTAGTGCCCTAACAGGAACGGACAGAAGACGGGGTATTCCGCGTAATATTATAATACTTGCTATCTTGCTTGAAATTTGCATGTAAAATCTGCACCAAGCATGGATTTTGTCAAATTCATTAGCTCGCCCTCCTCAAGAAAGATGATACTTGTTATGTTAATTAAAACTGGACGTGAGTGAGACTTATACACATTGAAAGCAAAGTAGGAATGTCTAGTAATGAATAAGACATGCAAGAGCTCTGTGTGATATTGTAACAGAAAAGAAACTGATTTGGAGGATAGTACTGGATTACACAATGTAGTAAGACAAGGCTTTCAATAAAATTTGAATGGAACAAGGGCAAAGTAACAAATGAAAGAGACAAGTTAATTAGTTGTTTGAGATGCTTGATGCAATCATTTCCATTATTCTGAAGATCAACTAGTTGGAAGGGGCTTTGGCATGGCTTCTTTCCGCTTCTAGCGCCGTCACAGGAACGGACAGAAGATGGGGTATTCCGCATAATTTTATAATGCTTGCTATCTTGCTTAAAATTTGCATGTAAAATCTGCATCAAGCTTGGATTTTATCAATTTCATTAGCTTGCCCTCCTCAAGAAAGATGATACCTGTTATGTTAATTAAAAATCTAGCCCCTTGATACTCTTGTCAAGAGTGCATCACCAATCTTCATCAAGGAATGATAAACCACTGTGATGAGCTAATGATGATCTATGGGCATGCCCGACTTGAGAGGAAGAATGCCAATGCCCACAACTGATTTTTTTTCTCTATTGCTTACTTAAGAGGATGCTGAACAACTATACTGTTGCTTCATCTGTGTTTTTATTCGCTATTGTGACTCCTTAAATGAAGAAGTGATTAGTGACTCACCTCCATTCTCAGGTCAACTACTATGAATTGCCTGCATGAAGTTTCTGTCGTATAGATCTCAACAATGATTGTGTCGCCATCCTCCTCAGCTTTATCATTTCATGAAAGGAGTGAATATGGATTGGCATTCCTCTATATGTTTCTAATGACAACCTTTGATTCCTCTTATGTTATGACCGGTCCTTTTGCGATTATTGAAGAATTAGGAAAAAATCTCGGAATGGGAAATTATTTTGTTACCATTTATTTTATTTCCTCTTATTTCTGAAACTTCAAAATTAGGAAGTAGGAAATCTGTTCCTAATTCTGCTCCCATTTTCTTGCTATTTCTAGCTGTCCGAGGCCCTATTTTTATGTTATGTTTCTCTGTAAAAATTACGAGTAATAAGAAACAGAAGAAAACACTTTTCTTCATTGAAATCCGCGGTGATATTATTGAGTAGCCACGTCAATGATACTCCTAGTGATAGATAAGTAGGTTGAATGTGTTGGTACGATCAACCAACGGTAGAAAATGTGATTAGTATTGTCTCAATGAATCCTCTCATTCGATTTTGTTTTTTTTTCTTTTTAACAATAGGCCTAGATAATCACCGTGACAAATTTGGAAACAATTGCCATGTCGCCTTTGCCGGAAAAAGTGATGGTGCCTCTGTTTTTCAGCTTTTCCACTCTCTTAAACATATGACAGAACGGTTCGCTAGCTTCTGGGTGATGGTATCATCTATTTTCACTACCATTCTTTCTGGAGTGATTTATTGCTGCAGTGAGCTTGACATCTTTAGTTTTCTTGCCACACTTTGTAAATTTTTTAATTTCTTAATATGTAGTTCAAACAAACTTTTTCTATGGTGTCATTTGATGGCCATGGTCCATGGTTGTCAACTAAGAATCCAATTCCAAGAAATTGAGTGTTCCCTGAGAACTCCTTATCAAAACTGAAATGTTTTCTGAAAAATCAGCCTCGGTGCCACTACAGGAGTGACTTCTAACATGCTGCCTCCGTGCGTGTCGTTCAATTTTTATCAGATGTCTCTGACAAGACATGCTGCCTCGGTGTGTAGGGATGAGGAAAGTAAGGGCATCCAATTTGCTGGAGGAAACAGAAAAGCACTGGGACTTGAACAGCTTTTCGAAGGCCTCGAAAGACATGAACAAAGCTGAGAGTTTGTTCATCTTAGGAGTCATTATTTCACAATCCATTGGTCACTTTTGCATCTGCAAAGTGGATAATCTTCTTGGGCTATTTGGGCCATACTATTTCTGGAGAGGCACTCCTGACCATAGTAGCATCCTAGGTAAGTGTGGTTCGGTGTGGGATATATGTTGAATCTGTTCCATTCAATCGCCTTCAATGCTTTCATCACGACCAATTTTCAAGTCAGGGAGACAGCGCTGTGAAGTTGAAGATCTTATTGAATGATTTGGCAATCTTTCAGGTACATAGAGGGAGTTGTATGTCCTCATCGCGAAAACTGTCTGATGAGATCATTTTGATTTAAGGAACTGGGAATACAATAACGCTAGATTGGTTTTCCATCTAACCAGCGACTATAAAACTCCAACGCCTCTCGTGGCTTCGTTTGGGGGACCATGTGCCCGGCTCCCTGCACCAGTGAGATAAGCGGTAGAATCAGAAGGGTTATGTCTGAAGATTTTAGAAGGAAAAACATAAGGCAACAGTATATATCATGCGGCCTTCTATGAAGTTCCTTCCTCTGATGGAATTTCACTCGCTAGTTAGCTTTCAACAAAATCATAAATGATGAAACAAGAATACTTATAGTGAGAGTTTTCTGTACATAACCTTGATTGTTAAGAATGTGAAGTTGTCATATCCTTGCAGATACCTGAACCAATTCAAGAAAGCATATATAGTTAATCTTGACCGGCATAGCTTGGTTCCACTACAGATTGGAGTGCTTAACAGTAATGGGTAATGAAAGGAAAAGGTTTGATGAGAAGTCCTGTGGGTAATAGGTCATAATTCTGGTATTATGAAGCAACAAAATTCTGCAGCTGCTGATAAGGTGACTGAAATATTATTTAGGTCAAACTTACCCTGCAACTTGATCATCGGTCATCCAAGGCCTCCATTCATCAATGATTTTGTATCCCATTGATCTGGTCCATGCTTGAGTCCCAGTGAAAGGTACTCTTCTATCATGATCTCCACTGTCAGCACACCAATTTAAGATTAATTTAAGTCAGTCGATGTATAAACAAACTATCTATCAAGTTATCAAAATGTAAAGATGCCACAACAACACATTAAGTTGGTGACTAGAAAGATCCATCCTAGATTTCTGCTCGGATGCTAATAATCGATTCTCTCTTTTAGCTTAGTTGACAAATGTTTCAGGTCAATACCAGCATCCTTGATTCATAAAAAGTCGGACATTTTTGTGGCCCTCGTACTTGTCGATCTTCACAATATGAATTTAATTTCATCCAAGTCCTCCTCAGCTAGTAAAAAACTGTATATATGTGGTTAAATCCTACCTTTTTCTGGAAACCAGTGGGATTTATAGGATATCTCACCTGTATATGAGCACTCGGTAACCCTGGGAAATTAAATTTTTGTGGTAAGGGATCATGCTTCCATTACCACGTGAATAACTATCCTTGACTCTTGTGGAACATATCCACCAAGAACCTGCAGCGCTTGCCTATTGAATGTATTCCATATTGATCAGTTATTTGACGCTTGATGCAGTGATACAAATTTGAGGAAATTATTTTTATTACCGGCGCTCCATGAATAGCTTTGCGAACTGCTTCATCATTCAACCATGCCACTGCAACTTCATCATCCTGTGCCATCATAATTCAGCTTATAAAACGGATGGTAAGTACTGGAATCAAAGGGAAGAATGGGAGCACCAAGCGAAGCAAAAGTCTGGTAAGGCGATTCATTTATTCTGACAATCCATAGTGTTTTGTTCGTTGTTCCCAATCCCCTTCCACCCTCCCAAACCCCGAAAAGAAAGTCCTCGAAGAGTGCTAATAGAGCAAAATCAGATAATACATAATAAAACTTTGACTAACTCACCACACATTCAATGTGAAACTCATCCTGTGATTCGGAGCTTGAAACTCCAGCGTCTCTAACAGTCCAAAAAGGTGAAGCTCGACCAAACATTCTTGTTCGCTTAGGGAGAGGCTTCTTATTTACCCCCTTTTGATGAAAGCCCAAAGGCATACTTGTGTTCCCACTTTCGTACTTGGTCTCTGAATTTCGGTAGCAAGGCTCAAGAATGTCATACAAGTTTAGACCCGAGACAGCCTAGAAAGTGGCCAAAGCACTTGCAAAATTAGAACCTTGATTCATTTATATCTACTTGAGTACTTATCCTCTTCCTTAAAAATTTATAGAACATGTACATATAACTAAAGAAACTTCTCTTGATTTCCAGTATAAGAAAGTACGATGACATTCTCACCAGATGAACTTTGTGAAGATTCTCCTCACAGGTTTCACTAGGAGGATCATAAAATTTCCCACCACATGTGATTTGGCAAGCCTGAAACGATCACGTATGATCCATATTAAGCTCATTGTTAAATAGCATAAAGATAGCTTTTGGCATCATACAATAATTTCAACAATTAATGTTTGAGCTGAAGTTAGTTTTTGTGTGGCAGAATTAGTCATGCAGGTGTTTATTATCTTCCTACAGCAGATTTAGTGCAGTAAATTCTGTGAGAGAAATCTCTGATCAAACCAACCTCAAAGATGTCATTTGAGATCAGCCCCATTCCAAAAGCAAAAGGCACAAGAGCATTGCCATCAAATTTGTCATCTGCGATCCCATTTCCCACCATGTAACCCTGCATTAAGCCATTTTGTCTGAGATCTTAACTATCCATATCAAATTTATGATCATTTAATGATGCACTGCCTAAACTGTTCAGTACAGAGTACGAAGAACATACCTTGAAATTGATAAGAGGCTTTTCACCAAGTTGAATTCCTGCAGGGGATGTAAATCTCCTATTACCTATTCAATCCAACACAGGGACCTGGCCTTTTGTGAGTTTGTATGCATTACCTTTTACCACTTCAGAAGCAAGAGTTGGCACATAAACTCCGGCATAAGACTCTCCAGAAATATAGAATGGATTTGAGAGGAACTCTGGATAAAGTTCGAACCACTAGATGAAAACAAAGAATTAGTGTTGGCAGGGACACATTATTTTGACCTGCTGGTTTTTCCAATGCTTTTCTAGATCAGTTCAGGACCTCATTACCTTGAGAAGAAATGCATGCGTATCAGAGGCAGTCTGTAGGTCTCCCGTCACATAATTCTTTGGATTGTCCGAGTAAGATAAACCAACACCACATGGCGAATCCAGATATATTATGTTGGAAACCTGAAAGATGTGCAGGAACATGGTATTATAGAAGGCAAGAAGGTGGTATTAACTGTCAAGCTGAGAAGTGATTGATATTAGATATCACAGTCTATTCAATCCATGAGTCAATTTGTCATGCTTGGTCCATATTGTTCAGTTTTAATCTGGAACAAAACATACTGCTCAAATGCGACTAAAAAGATAAGTTCTCAATGACCTTGGACCAGCTGAACGAGTTGAGGTGCAATACTGGCAAGCTTCCCTTTGGCTTTCCTGCTTGGAATTTAAATGGTCCTGGAAACAGGCACCAGGCTTATAAGTGGCACACGACATGTCCAAGTGAAATATGCTCACACATAAATTATGATCACCAGGGATTAACTTGCATACCATGTTCATAGATGAATCCATCAAAGCTGGAGCACCCTGGTCCACCATTAAGCCACAGTACTACAGGGTCTTTTGAAGGATTCCTTTCTGAAGCAATGATATAGTAAAACAAGTTCTTCTTTCCAGGACTTCCATCTATAGTCACATACCTGCAAAAACCATATTTCAAACTCTTGTGATAACATAGAGTCAAGTTGAAAAGCAGCTTGTCACAAGTACATATATGTGGTTACATACCCTGCATAATGTGCAGAGGGTAGAGTTCCATTGAAGCCTGGTAAAGAAGTTATGAGAGAATCTTTAGGAGCTGCTCTAACAGATGAAACAGTGAGAAGCAAGCCCAGTGTTATGCTGCATATGAACTTTAAGATTATCATGTCCGCACAAATTTAGAACTTCTCGAAGCTCATATATCCCATGTAACCTATAAAAAATTTATAGATGTAACCAGGAGTTGAATTAGAATGTGTTGTCGATCGATCGAGAGAGAGAGAGAGAGAGAGAGAGAGAGAGAGAGAGAGAGAGAGAGAGAGAGAGGGAGAGGGAGAGTAGAAGATGAAAGAGGAGAGACAAATAGTAGTCCCTGAAATGCTTTGCACTATCATTTTGTATGGAAAAAATACCTTCTGTCCTGGAGAGAACAAGGTCAATTGATTAAAACAATGAAGAAGAGAACTCGAAAAAAGTAATAGATGAAAGTGACAAACAGAATGAATTGTTTGACATGCTTCGGTTCAATCATTCAATTATTTAAAAGGATCGTATGTATCAAAAAGGATGGTGGCAAAGTTGTATTCTGTTTCTAGTTCTAGCCCCTTGTTAGGTCCACCCTTGTCTACATCTCATCTGGTGTCAATACGTGATAGAGGAAACTTACGGAAATGACAAGTACTTGCTTTTGCAATTTCCTCTTGCCCGCACTTAAATTTTCTTTTTCCTTCTTATTTACATCGGGAAAAGTTCTGACATGCAATCAGCATACTTAGGTCTAAACGTCATTCTTAACCACCAAAAATTCAGGTAAAATGGACTTGTGTAAATCTGGCGCCATGCAATAGCTTCTCATCAGTCAAATTGTTTGTTCTAACTATGCTGCTCCGCTGTGCTAGGAAAAAATAATGAATTGGCTGGATAGCATATCACCTAACAAAAATTCAGAGAGCGGTAAAATCAACTATGACCAGAAAAAGATGAAATTGTTCGTTCTGCCTTCTCTCTGTGAGTTTTCTTATCGGAGGAAGACAGAACTTTCTTCAAAAGATGAAATTCTAGTTGGTTTGCAATGACACAGTATTCTGTCTGATTGAACGCTGAAACTCATAACTTCTAAGATGTATGAATAATGAAACACTTGGGAGACGATAGATGAAAGGATGAAACAAAACAATATCGAGAGGGCTGAATTTACTATATGGTTTATTTGGTTATCGAACAAGTAAGAGACCAGTCTCACATTCGTATGCGAGGTGCAGAAATGAACTTAATCCGTGATGAACTGGTTGCAAAAAGAGTCGTGGATTTTATTTTCTGCCCTGAACTACATTGAAAAATCTCACAAGCGGAGTGGTCATCACAAAATCTTGCTGCCACCACTTTGATCGCATAAGCTGGTGCTTCACACTTTGGAATTGGGCAATTCGAGAGGCCATTGACCCACCATACTAGCTGCCACTGTCTTGAGCTACCATTCAGTCACACCTAGGCACCACATGCTTTGTGATGCGTCCAGTAAATGAGACTACTTGAGCAATCCCTTTGGGAATCGATTCACGTGGTTTGTGGCACATCATCATGTTAAGTGCGACAAAACTCCAAAAAGTATGAGGTGTGAACATACTGCTTCATCATCAACAGATGAGGAAGGGCCTCCCCTAAGCTGGAGGAATGAAAAAAACCACTACATGATCTTTCATGAGCCAAACAACCATCTTTAAAGGCTGAAATCACAAGAAAAGAGCTAAAAATGTCCACTGAGATTGATCAAACAGAATGACTCTGGTGTTATCCTGTGGACAATTTTTCCCTGCCTTATTCTTCAATTTCTTCATCTTCAGACTAGAGCCAAATACTTCATTATGGGTTTTGTTTTGGAGAGGTAAGCGTGGCTATACTCCACTGCAGGGCCTTTTTTTCTATTTGGCTGTGGATAGATATTAAATATTAGTAGAATCCTATTCCATCAATGCACTATCTTTTCATAAGTTAGATGTGCGGCTCATTCACAACCAATTGTCATGTCACCTAAAGAACTCCATCAATGGGAGAATTTTATTGAATAAGTTGGTGATCTTTTAGGTACATAGAAGTTGTCTACTATCGTGTAGTAAGCCTGAATAATAAAACGATTTTGCCTAAATGAACCACATATATAGTCATGTTAGATTGGTTTTCCATCTAACCAACGAGTATAGAACTCCAATGCCTTCCTCGGCTTGTATTGAGGGACCGTATGCCCAGCTCCCTGTACCAGTGAAGAAGTTTGAATCAGAAGAGGATAGGCTCATTCCCGGAAAAATCCAAAAGGAAAAAAATTTGGTCTGCAGAAACCATTTATCATTAGTATCAACTCTGGATTTAGGGAATGGCAACCATTTTCTATGGAGCTCCTTTGCAAATCAAAGAGGCATGCAGAAAGAACCCCGATTTTCCCGAGGCCTCTAGCATTTTAATCATTACCCGCTGTAGCTAACTTCCAAAAGCATGATGTATGATGCATTGAGAACTATCAATCTGAGAATAAGCTTCACATAACCTTGATAGTTAAGAACGTGAGGTTGTGGTCATATCCTTGCAAATACCTGAATTAATCCAAAAAAACTCATGTAAGTAAAGTTGTAGCACAACCTGAGTTTTTTCATCATCTGGAATATAGATGTGACTAACTGGAAAGTAAGCACTAAGAAGAAATGACAGAGGAGTATGTGAAGATCAATTATTTCCGTAACATTATGTAATTTTTCGATACTAAACAATTTACAAAATGATGCAGCCACTGTTAATGTAACAACGAGAATGACGAGTAAAACTTACCCAGCGACTTGGTCGTTAGAAATCCAAGGCCTCGATTCCTGAATGGTTTTGTATCCAAGTGACCTAGTCCATGTCTGAGTACCGGTGAAAGGTACAGCCATATCGTGATCTCCACTGCCAGTATATGTGAACTTTATCAACTTCATCGAGGGACGTCAATGGAGGATCAACTAAAATCAGTTACTACACGAGAAAGGATGGTTAAAGTCCAAAGACGATCTGTCGAGTAGGGAAAATGCAAAGAGGCAATCTAAACAGAGTGATATCTACCCTATTCATCCCATTTAGCATGTGAGCTCTGTTATGCCAATTGAACATGAATCTGGTCTATTAGAAGAATTGCGATCCTCAAGAAGTTGGACAGCTATCTTTCTTGGTACTTGTGAAACTTCCAACCAGCTCTGTCAACAAATTCTGCTCTTAATGCACATTTTATCATCCTATTCCTTCTCAGCTTACTGACAACTGGACATCTCAAGTAATGAGAATCCATATATCCCTTATCGGTGTAAGTTTTAACTATTTTCTGAAACCTGACTTGGTAGATACATGCTGGGGGGACTGGAATGTCTCAACAGTTCATTTTTAAATGCAAAGTTTCACCAATGTAGTTGTATCCGTATGACATATCTAAATTCATACATGGCATATGAAAATGTATGCATACACATTCATGTGACACAGATTGACGATAGTACCATCAGCTGTTGACATAGATGTCATTCTTCCGGATCATATAGGATGATTAGTGGCACCATGGTTAAGGTGATATGTCTCACTATTACATTATGTACATTCATCTGACAAGTTCACCTGTAGATAAGTGTTCGATATCCCTGGGAAGTTAGATTTTTGTGGTAAGGGATAATTTTTCCAGCATCCTTCGAATAATTTGACATGACTCTGCAGGCACATATTGACCAATGACCAGCCACACTTACCTATTAAATGAATGTCAAATCAAGTAATTAACTTCATACCGATGCTTGATATTGCAATATTAAATGACGATACTGGCATTACCGGCGCAGCATGAATTGCTCTTCTAACTGCTTCAACATTCAGCCATTCAGTTGCAACTTCATCATTCTGCACCATCACGATTGAACATGTAAAGCTGCTTGAACCAGACAAGAAGTGGAACACCTATTGAGCCAGAATACTAGCGATGCAATTTACTTGCCATGACAATGGAAAATATTTCGCCCCATTGGTTAGACGAAAAATCACTTTATTTTTTTCCCCTTTTGTCCTTTGTTTTTCAATTATTATACGATTTTCTATTATGAGGGGCAAAGGAAGAGTTTGAGACCTCTCTAGTTCTTGTGAAGCCTTCTTAGGACATTTGATCACAGTTGCTGCCTGCCCTATCTGTTACAGTTCTTGCATGGGACTTAATTTGTCGTATTTGCGAGTGACAAAAACTCCAATCCAAAAGCTTAAACTATTCGATGGAGAGAGACTACATACATACATACATATGTGTGTGTATGTGTGGAATATTTAAGCGTATGGAATAGACTTTAACAACCAAACCTCTTGAAAAAGTTTGAACTAACTCACAATACATGGAATGTGAAACACATCTGATCCACATCTATCATCACTTGCTAATGACCAAAGCCGTGAAGCTTGAGCAGACATTCTCTTTCTCACAGTGAGAGGCTTCTGAGTCGCTCCGAATTGATGGGAACTCAAAGGAATGCCTGTGTTCCAACTGTTATTGTTTGCTTTTGGATAACGGTAGCAAGGCTTTAGAACATTATAAAAGTCGAGATGTGCCACAGCCCAGAGAGGAGCCAAAAAGATAAAAAAGTCAGAATCTTGAAGCACTTATATATCTTCTTCAGTACCATTTTCTATTTCTAAAACTGACCAAAATATGCACATTGTACAAAGTAGAAGACGATAAACAGACAGGAGCACCCGGTAATATCTAGCAAGGTTCTTTTCACAGCTTTTATTGGGAGGGTCCTCAAATTTTCCTTTACACGTGGCCTGGCAGTCCTGCAACAATGAGTATAGTCCACATTGAACATACTGTGAAAAGATCAGAAGAAATTGATCTTGACATCATCCGAGAATATCCAGTTGACATAGTTGACCATCCAAATTTTAGTGAATCCTAGTGTCATGTTTGCCTTGATTATTTTAATTCCACAGCTTAGTGCATTAAAAGCTTAGACCGAACTCCCTAATTTAATACACCTCAAAGATGTCTGTGGAGATCAATCCCATGCCTACAGCGAATGGAAGACGAGCTGCATCGCCATCATATATGTTGTTAGTTACCCCATTCCCCACCATGTAACCCTGCATTAAATGAATATTTTGTCTAAGAATTTATAAGAGTTGAACTAAATACATGAACATTGAATTATGCATTTCCTAAGCTGTTCAGCTGAGGATTGGTAGAGGAGATACCTTC